GCGGTTACCTGTGGTGCTATTAGTCAGTCTGTAACGTGTTGAATATGTGGTTACCTGTGGTGCTATTAGTCAGTCTGTAACGTGTTGTTGGCGGTGTCGGCCGTAGAGACGTCTGATGTTACTCAAAGCTCCAAAGAACATTTGAAACACTCAGCAGCATCGTCTGTTTCCAGAAAACGTGGCCTGATGTTCTCGAGATACTCCACAGACTTCATCATGTTGGAACTATTTTCCTTCTACTGAACTACACCCGCCGACCGTATCACTACACAGAAAGTGCTGTCTAGAGACATAAACATTAACAGCGTCATCGTTTGCGGAGCTGCGCGGTGAGCTTCCTTCGGCAGTATTAAGTCCATCCGTCGTCTTTAACCGCTGATCTGGATCAGGGTCGCCGGATCCCAGCTGACAGGGTTCAACCTGGACAGGTATCCAGACTATCAAAGAGCTGACAACCAATCACGCTCACATCGACACCAATTCAGAGTCATCAATCAACCTCAGCTGCTCGGCTTTGGGCGGTGGGAGGAAGCCCGCGCTGACCGTTTGTGTGAACGAGGATCAACATCAGGACCAATTCACACGTTTGTTTTGGGGGCAGAAACATCCGATTTTTCCAAACCGTCCACCTCTTCCGAGACTATTGTTGCCTGGATCAACATCTCTGATATCAAACTCCTTTTTGGGTGAAGTTTGAAGAGACTCTGTTGAAGTACTGCTACTACTGCAGTACCACTGTGTACTTGGTGATATTAATATACACATTTAAAACTGTGCAGTACGACCATCATTCCTCGGCGGTGTCACCGGTGTACTGATACGATACGTCGTCCATCGAGAGGAAATGTGGTGATTTTTTTGTGGGTTTTTTTACATTCTGTGCAAAATTAGACGAGAAGAAAGTCCAAACATCATCATCATCTTCATCTTCGTCAGTGTTCAGACAGTTTCCTTCTATTTACAGTTAGTTTCTAAGACGTTAGTACCATCGTCCCCTCGATGGGACTAAGACATTCCTCATGAGGGGCAAAAATCCACCTTCAGACAGAACTCTCCGTCTTCACTCCTGGACTGAGGCCTCCGTGCCATTTGGCATCCCCCAAATCCTGAATTTGTATACAATCTTAAAACAGTACAGTCCTGTTCAACAATCTTGTTGCTGTTCGGAGGCTTTGAGTGAAATCTTGAGCGACGCCGAGCTGCTGCAGACATTTGAGTTTTACAGTTTGTTTTTGTTTTTAAAATCACGAAACTAAAAATCCAAATCTTTAGCTAGTTTCCATTTCTTTTATCTCATGGTTCTGACTTTTTCATGTCCTCATGTATTCTTCTCATAATCACAAGTCATAATTTACTTTAAGAGAAATTAGCACAAAACATTGATTTATTACGATAAATATTCTCAGAAAGTCTCGTAATAGTAACGGGTTTGTATCCGAGAAAGATTTAGTAGTTATGACTTTGTATCAATTATGACAGTATATGAGGTAATGATGTCATATTATTGGAATGAATAACTGTATTATTATGAGTGATTTTAAGACTAATGGGCTTCTAAATGAAATAGTACCGACTTAAATATATCATATTTATGAGAATCTACCTCATAGTTACTTATCTCATTATACGCATTCTTAATTACTAGTTAAGTAGTAAATCGTTAAAAAAAACGTTTTGGTGGAAGATCAAAGTCTTTAGATATTAGAAGATATTAAGCAGAGTTCTTAGAATTTAGTGTCATTTAGTAATTTTTTGCATGTTTAGTGTCATTAACATATAAAGTATGAGTTTCTAGTGAGAGTTCACTGTGACAGACTTCCTGCTACAGAGCGACAGTATTACTGACTGCAGGCTGGAGGAACATCTACAGGAGGGTCTTCAGGAGTTGTGGATCTTGGTCTCATTTCCAGGATCCCTGATATTTAAAAGTACCGGAACGCTGGAACAGCTTCTTCCATCTTAAGGTGGATTTTCACCTCGTCCTTCAGATTTAAAAACAACGGCTGCTATTCAGCGGTCTATTTAAAAAGGCATTCAGCAGGTAGAAGACACAGGGCACACAGTGAGAGAGGAGGGACGAGGGCAAGGGAATAGAAAAATAAAAATTAAAAAATTGTGGCGGACTACAACTAGACGATCACCTCACTTCACTCTGTGGCAGAGAAACATAAAAAACATGTTAGAAAACAAAGTTTCAGAGGAGGCGTGGCACCAGGTGAGGAGGAGGAAGGCCGAGGAAGAAGAGGAGGAAGAGGAAGAGGTCTTGGAGAGAGTCTCAGAAGAACTTGTCGTCGATGCGGAAGTGCGGTCGCGTGACGTCGTCCGGGTTGATGAAGACCGAGATGGACTTCCCGGGGTTCTCCGTGACCAGCTGCTGCAGCTTCTTGGCCAGCCGGTCGTCCGGTTGGTTCTCCCCGCCGGAGTCGGACTGCGGCGACGGCAGGTTGCTGGTGCTGCCTCGCCACTGCAGTTCCACCGTCAGCCGGTTGGCGGCCTTGGCGTGCTCGATGGTGGTGCGCAGGTGCTCCGCGGGGTCGGAGCGCACCGAGGAGAGCTTGCGGGCGTGCAGCATGGCTGTCTCGTCCGACAGGTGCTCCAGCATGTTGCACTGGGGGATGAAGTAGTTGGGGCACATCTTGTTGACCAGGCAGTGCTGCAGGTCGTCGATCAGGCCCAGAAGGAAGTGGGCCGAGAAGTCGTCCTGGCCCAGGTAGTTGGCGGGGAGGCGGTCGCAGGCCCACAGCATGATGCTGCGGAGGTGGTAGGGGCTGATGGCTTTGGGGCGGGACAGCAGCTTGATGATGATGGCTTTGCAGGCCTGGTACGCCTGCATCAGGCTGGACGAGATGCACTTCTTCAGCTGCACCTCGCTGCGAGCGAACGACAGGCGCCACTCGTTCTCCTTGCGGCCCTTGTGAGACGAGGCGGGGACCAGGTAGAAGCCGCTGATCACCTCCTCCTCCGTGATCTTCCCGTCCCAGAAGTGGTTCTCCATCAGCCAGCTCTGGGCGACCGCCGGCCAGCCTTTGAAGGACACAACGGGAACGATGTCGTAGAGCATCCGGCTGCTCCCGACGCCCAGGATGACGGAGATGATGGTGCCGTTCCTCTCCACCTTCTCCACCCGCGGCATCCCTCTCTGCGGCTTCTTCTGCACCTCCAGCAGCACCAGGGAGATGGACTGGTAGAACCAGTCGGCCACCAGTGTCGGAGAGAAGAAGTAGTTGGTGGTCCCGCTGATGTGGTCCACGATGGTGCAGCAGTCCTTCCACTTGTTGATGGTTGCTTCGTCAAAGAGGCGGAGGCTGAGCCAGGAGTGGCCTAGGGCCGAGTGCCTCATGTCCAGGGTCACCGGCTGGTTGCGGTCGTGAAGTTTGAGCGCCGGCACCAGCAGGGTGAAGTCCATGTCGTAGTCAGTGCCGCGGGCGTAGACGCTAAGCTCGTCCAGATCCATGTCCACCACCCCCTCCCGAACGCCTCCCGACAGGAGGAGGTACTCGTTGGCGACGGGGAGCTTCTGGTCCAACTTCTGGACCATTCCTGAGAGAAAGAGGACGAAAGACAGGACTCATTAGAGAACTATGACACAACAGACCATGAAATGTTGTCTAAGGGGCCGATCGCACCGAGACGTGCCACCCTCAAAACCCTTGGTTTCCTATGGTACGGCTCGCCATTTTTCTCACGTTATTTACATTCGATCACACCTGTTTTTCATGTGTTTTGCCCGACTCGCGTTGCCAAAGGAGGAGTTTTTGATCGTACGAGTAAATCTTTTGTGTGGAGGTCTTGACGGAGCTGAAGCTCATCATCTTCCCAACATTTACACCGACTCGTTCTGGCTGTTTGAAGCTGCCAATGTTTTGGTCTTTGGACGTATTTTTAGATACTAGCACCGATAGAATACCTGAACTTCTGCACCGATAACAAAACCAACACCTTACGTTGAAGAATATGAACCCATGTATTTAAAAAAAAAAAAAGCAAAAGTTGCCAAATGTTTTCTAAAAACAAGCAACTGCACAAGAACTTTGTCTATAGAATAAAGTCTTGAACCTACCTGATCGAAGAATAAGTATTCTGATCAGACATATGATGTTAACTTTTGGTTCAGTTTTTGATATTCTGTGCTACACAGCTACTAAGCTAAGCAGTTTTTTGGGGTCAGTCTGGAACCCTGCAAGGTCTGGACGGGGATACTGTGGATCGGTCTGGACTGGTTTTCCACTCTGCTGGGCTTTAGAAGTGAAAGGACACACAAACACACACTTCCTGATGGCAGCATTCCTGTGCTGCAGTGGACCGTCACTGTTTGTTTGGTGGATTTCTAAAGAGACAGTTTGAAAGTCTTTAAAGTTGTTTTCAAACCTTTAAGTCGTGCCGCTCCGATCTGAATCAGCGGATGAGTTGGTAAACTTGTTGGTTTGTCTTCTTTTACCACAGAAAACTATTAGCATCATTAAAAGGTTTTTTGTCCGTCGCTATCTTGTTTGTTTTGCAACCAGTGAACAGGAAGTGACCATATCTGGACTGAGGAGGAGTGACGTAGAGATGCCGTATACGTCTCTGGTAGAGACCTGTCAATCACGGTGTAGCCCCGCCCTAAAGCATCCCCTGCTTTATGGTCTGTTTGACTCTAAATGGACCATAATGTACTCAATGAACATCATGCTGTATTGAAGACTTGAAACTAGAGATTGAGACCATAAACTCATGTTTACTGAGGTAATAAATCAAGAGAGAAGTAGAGTCATTTTCTCATAGACTTCTATACAACCAGAGGAGTCGCCCCCTGGTGGTCACTAGAGAGAATGCAGCTTTAACACATGAAGCTCTGACGTCTCTTTAGAGCCGGAGGTTTGGAACGAGTCGACTCATTCTGCAGACTGTCAGTGTGACTACAGACTAAATGTAACGTGTGGATCATCCCGAGTTCTGCTGTTTTGAATCCAGAACGTCACAACTGAAACATGTAGACAGGAAGTGATGTCACACTCCTCCGGTCCTTAATAAAGTTTGATGAAAGCAGAGCAGTGACATCACTACGTCTCAAACATCGTTCACTCGGCAGGAAGAGTCGACGAACAATAACTTCTTAAAATCAGCGTTGAGGATCAAGTTTAACTGTTAATATCTGTGTTGATATCAACGTCTATTAAAATATTTATATCTATATCTATATCTATATCGATCGATATATCTATATCTATATCTATATCGATCGATCGATAGATAGATAGATATATAGATATAGATAGATAGATATA